CTGAAGGGCCTGAGCAACGCTGGGTTAAGTCTTGTAGTGTTCATTATAATCAATAATATATATATTATATTGAATGACTAAAAATGCTGAAGTTATCAGAACGACACTGAATAACTAAAAATCACAAAGATTTCCTTCCTGACAAAGCAGCAACATAAGTGACCAAATAGAATAAAATGCCAGTAATGGACAAGGAATATTATTTTGTATAAGAGGGAAAAAATAAATGACTGGAAAGACGTTCCACCAGTGAAAACAAAATCAAATACTTTCCCGTTGATCTTTAAAGGCCTTCATTTCTGCTCCTTTCTTTCTTGCCTTTTCACAAGGAAGCACATCTCTGAAGGAAGGAAAGTGTTAAGTTCTCGTGACACTAAGTCTTCTTTTTTTAAATTGAGCATGGTATGTCTCTTGCTCCAAGCAAATCTAGTAGTACTTAGGATACGATTTCTTTTTAAATAAAGAATCATCTGTCACAGACTCTGGGCTGGAGAAGTACAGCAATGCCTCTCTCACTGATCAACATTAGCTTTAAAATACCTTTATTATATACAAAAATGGCTACTGCCATTAGCAGTCCTCTGTTGGATACAGTTCCAAAACAATTATCTTCCAAAGAACGGCCATGCTCTGAATATAAGAAAAATAATGCCAAATGACCCAAAATATTTGTTACATACTCTCTGCTACTGATGAGATCAATCTTGCTGAGGAGAAGGGGAGATAACAGAGTTGAAGGAAAAGAAAAGTGCTAGACATCACAGTTAAGGAAAAGAAGGATCAGGAGCCAGGAAGATGGTAAGAAATAAAGCGAAACTGAAAGAAAAAGCCAGATGAAGCAGACTTCAAAGTATCAGTGGAGACATTCAAGGGCCTATTTCTCACTACAAGACCATTTTATACAACTCTGAAAGCATAAAGGGGGTTTAGTGTTATAACCTATGGTCTTAAGCAGAGGTAGCAGGTGATAAAGAAGTTGTGGATCATGGTAAATTTCTTAGGGAAAAAGGATTTTAGTGGAAGAAGGGCAGAGCAAAGCAGGAAAAAGGATGACAGATCCAGTTTTAGAATTATTGGCCACAGAACAATTATTGCACTCCTCTGCTATTGAAACATAAGCTAGGCTCTTCCCCACACACAGCCCATTAATATAATTTTTAAAAAGCTAAATTGTGCCTACACTAGACACTAAGGCTGCATCTAGACTGGCATGATTTTGCAGAAATACTTTTAAAGGAAAAGTTTTTCCGTTAAAAGTATTTCTGCAAAAGCGCGTCTAGAATGGCAGGGATGCTTTTGCGCAAAAACTGCTTTTGCGCAAAAGCATCCGTGGCCAGTCTAGACACGATTTTGTGCAAGAAAGCCCCAGTCGCCATTTTAGCCATCGGGGCTTTTTTGCGCAAAACACTTCTTCCCTGTCTACACTGGCCCTCTTGCGCAAGTATTCGTGCACAAGAGGGTTTTTTCCCGAGTGGGAGCGTGAAAGTATTTACACAAGAAGCACTGATTTTGTACATTATGAGGTCCTGCAGAGCCACTATGTGCTCCCTCAGCAGGTCCGTGTAGACACGCCAGTGCCTGTGGGTGCCACGGGTCTGTAGCTAGACAGGAACTTTCCTTGTAACATCTATTTTTGCTTGCCTGGAGCATACAGGGCACACAGAGCAGAAGGCCCAGGCTGTGTGACCGTGAATGGCTGTAAACAGAGATACGCCAATTGCTGATCAAGAGGCTGCCAAGGAGTGCCCTTGACTCAAACCCATATTGATACGAACACACATCCATCCGCGGGGGGAGGAATCTCTCGCCCAGTAAAAAAATGTCTAGTATTCACAATTTAGTTATCTCTCTTGCAAGTGTAAATTAACTTGAAACTTGCTTGTAAGAACTGGCGCCACAAAACGGACCAGTACAATTCGGCATCTTAGATAAGAAAGAGAATACGGGTCCCCAGGGGTATAAAGATAGGTCCAGCAGCGCATTTTCTCTGAGTGTCAATCTACCATCTATCTGCTGGTCGGGTTAGGTGTTTGATCTCCCGAGGTTCCAAGGGGACGCCCACCTCGTATTCGTCTTTCCTAGGAATTGAGAGACCGGCCCTGGCCTGACACGCTAGAGTCGAGAGGCACAGAAAGGGGTAAAAATTGTACCTGGATGTGGTCCTTTGCTTAAGTATATATATACATAGACTTAGAGCTCTTTAAAGATTAAGCTGTCACTTGGTACCATTATTTCTATTTTCTATCTTTATTTTCTTTGTAACCATTTTTAAAATCTGTATTTGTTAGCATTTAAGAAATAGAGCAATAGCCATTGTAACCATATGCTTTTATAAGTCTTTTAATAAACCTGTAACTGTTTAAGCTTTAACCTGACTCCTTCAGTTGCTGTAACAGAACCAAGCACAATTTAAAAGAACTTCAGCCGGTCATAAAGGGACAGACATAGGGAGAGCTTGGGCGTTTGGATCTGTGTCACTCCCAGGTGACAAGATCCGTTGGGGCACCTTTCCAGCCTTTCCCAGGCTGCCCGCTGCAAAGGAACTTTGTGTTCTAGCAGTTAAAATCTAAGGTGTAATAAGCTCTTTCTATATAACGGGGCGTCTGTTGGCCTGCTGGCCACCCTCTGCGATGGGACCCCGGTCCTAGCAGTAAAGACATGGACGTTAAACCTTTTCTCGGAAACACACACACACACATTGCCCTGACCGTCGGCTGACAACACCCTAAGAGTATGTCTACAAAACTGGGCTAAAGCCAAAATCAGCTATGCAACTTGAGCTATATCAGCTTAGTAGCTTAAGTCAAAATACAGCCTCTCCACAACTTACAAAGCGGTTACAGACCAAGCAATTGATCGTAACTTGGTTTGTTCGTAAGTCGGACCCCATAGAGTTACACGCAACCGCACTGTTCGTAAGTACGGATCGCATTTGTAACTTGGGATCTGCCATTTACAACAGTTTTGGTCATAAATGCGAACGGTCGTATGTCGAACGTTCGCAACTCGGGGACCGGCTGTAGCTTATTTTGGCTTTTGTTGAAGTCTACACAGCAGGAAGTCTGAGAAAGAGCACTCTTCCTCCAACTTCCCTTACTCCTCATAAAATGAGAGTTACAGGAGTTGGAGTAAGAAGACCTCCAGCTCGACATTATTTTGACGTTATGTCAAAATAACAACTTGTAGTGTAGATGCTGACGATGTTATTTTGGAATAATGTCAGTTATTCCGAAATAACACTGCTGTGTAAACATTGCCTATGGGATGTTTTAAACCAGGTCCCCAAACTCGGTTTACAAAAGCATTATTCTTCTTAGTTTACACTAGGAAGCGTGGGGTGAGCACCTGACCCAAATTGGATAGGACCAGGGCCAGATTAAGGGGGGGGAGGCTATCTGGGCAGCTGCCTGGGGTGCCAACCTATGGGGGGGTGCCTGATTGCAGCTGTAAGGGGCACCGCGTGGCCTCTGCCCTCGGGTGCGTGGCACCCCTTACAGCTACAATCAGGCACTGCATGGCCCCCGCCCCTGGGCGCATGGCGCCCCTTAAAGCTTGGGAGCGGGAGCCGCGTGGCGCCTGATTGCAGCTTAAAGCTTGGGGGGCAGGGGCCGTGGATGCACCGTGCGCCCACTGCCCAGGATGCAAGAATGTCTCAAGCTGGCACTGGATAGGCCAGTCCCAAATTGTAGCATTTAAGGTCTGGTCCTGAAGTGAATGACTCCCAGGCAGCATTGAAGATCAAGGCAATGCCAGTCTTCTCCTGGTGTGGGGCAAGATGGGCCTCAGGTCCCTCCTCCATGTGGCCCCTGCTTCTTCTCTTCCCCTCAGAGCCTCCCTCCAGCAAAGCAGGAAGCCAGACCTGGGAAGTGGGAAGACCTGGAACCTGAGATACTATGGAGAACCCTGAAGTCCCAGACCCTCCATTTCCCTTGTGGGTGCTTTCTTGGAGGCTGTGATCAGGCCAGGGGCTGCTATAGGGAACCCAAGACCTCTGCCCTAGCCAAATGGAGGGTCCAGGGCTTCCCACAGTGGTCCAGGCTTCATGGCTGGCTCTGACTTCCTCTCTTGCCAGAGGACAGGGCTACAAAGAAACAAGAGAGTAAGGGCTTCTGCATATGTCCTGCTTTTGCCTTTTTCATTCAACTAGGAAAAATATAGTCTGATATACCAAACAGAGGTTTCAGAACAAAGGAATATCCTATAAACTAAATCCATACCATTAATAGGACCAGGAGGGGAGTTGCCCTGGGCCCCACACTCAGGGAACTGAGGGGTGTTGCCCCAAACCCCATGTCTACGTATAGACAATCCTTGGAGAAGAAGTTGTAGAGGATAGTTGGTTGACTGTGGGTGCTAAACACATACTAATTCTTTTTTTCTGGAATCCGCATGTATGATTACGAGACTCTCAGTAATGGAAGCCATATGTACCTATAGCAGTAAATCACATTTTTGTCCCACAGGTCACCTGTGAAACAACTGAAACCCTGAGAGATGGCAAGATCCAGAGAAAGGCAAATATATTCCATTTGAAGTATCCATCGTCATTTATGTCTATTAACCTAAGATGTGTGGAAAAATCTCCATGTCACTATTCATGGGAGTCAGACACCTCACCTTGTATGGAGAATAAACATTTTATACATTCATTTCTATGGCATATAATTACACTTCTCAATCTACCCCAATACTTGTGTACACACCTAATTTTAAAAGGAACTACATCACCCTAGTGAGCCATTTCCTTTTGATAGCTGCCAAGAAACAGGCAACATGTTTTATCAGGCAATTTAGTAAATAGCAGGTGTAAAAACTAACTACATGTAAAACCATTTTTCAGGGTAAATAGTTTCCATTTGAAATATTAATAATTTGGACTTTAATACAACACCACAATGTTTTGGCTACTGTCCCTTTACACTTTAGTGTTTACAAAAACTGGCTCTAAGTAGCATGTTAAATTACAGTTTGAGAAATGTTAAGATTGAAGCGTTTAATACCTCAGAGCATTTAATCTGTCAGAGAAGTCCTCAGCCATCTGTTTGCCCAGGGTTTATATTTCCATCTGAGTGGAAGAACAGAATACATCTTGGATTAATTTATACTGCTCTCATATGTTATCAGACTCTCACAATTTTTTGGCTTTGTGAATGAAGGCATGGATAACAGCACACAGGCCAGACACTTCATCTTGGTTTAGATCAGACTCGAGAAAAGAGACTCAATGGGACAATCATTTAATTCTATTAAACAGAAAAAACAAAAATCATCTTTGGAACTAAATAATGAGATGAAAAAGTGTTCATTCCTCATTCAGTTCTTATGTAGTGCAATGCATTCTAGTTCCATGTTCACTTTCTCTCTCAAACAATAGGCTAGAACTTCATGTAAATTTTTTAAAGACACACAAACTAGTGTCTTCTCCTGCTGTGTCCTACCCTCTGTAAGGTACAGAAATAAAATCCATATGGTAATTTTTATATACAAAGGACTTACCTAGAGAATGAGGGAGTATCTCCAACTATAGTTTCACAATCCTCTCATTCAAAAATGGCTAATCAAATTGGCCAAGCAAATTCACCTTCAACCCTGGTAAAATTTTAGCCTTATAGGAAATATTTCAGAAAGTTATGGTAGATTTTAAACAGGTTTACAATAGGCACACTGTGACAACTGCTGCTATAACTGACACTATCACACCAACTATTATAAACTTGAACCTCCATATTCCAGATTTCCCTAATCCGGGAGAACCTGTGGTATGGCCCCTCACAGTGGGAAGGGAAGTAGTTCTGTACACTGCTGCTCCCTCTCCCCCCTCCAGCTGGGGGAACAGCAGTGCAGCGAAGTGCTTCCCAGGAGACCACAGCGGCGGGATGTGATGCTTGGGAGTGGCAGGGAGTGCAGAACCATGCGTGTCCCCAGGAGCGGGGTACCAGGTAAGTGTCCCAACTGTGGTACCCTCATGCACCATCCCTCCCTCCCATATCATTCCTCAGCACTCTCAATGGTCCACAAGACTTCCTTAATCCAGCATAGCCTGTTTCCCAAATTTACTGGATTAGAAAGGATCAATTATACATGAAACAAATAGGCTCAAATAGCATGGAGTCATAACAAACAAATGGGTGTTATTAAAATACTTATATTATGGCAGCACCTATAGGCGTAGGGCAGAGTGACAAGTGTATTCAGATGCAGATAGGCACCTACTGGATTTACAATAAATTGCTTAGGTGCCCAAATAAATCAGGTCAGGAGCACATGGAACAATGCCTAACACAGGCATATGGTAAATGGCAGTCACTGTCCCAAGGATCTTACAATTTCACAGGTGGATGAGACAAACAAGAAAGCAGGAGGAAGAGGAGGTGGCCGTACAACAACGGGATCTTTATGTATAAACCAGCTGGGTGTGCAATTTATGGACTTAGTAATTCAGCTGGTAGCAGCAGTCAAGAGTCCCTGTATGTCTATCAGCTGTTATTAGATGTCAGTTGTCTGCAGTGATCACAGTACAAATTGCTTTTAAAGAGGATTTTGAAGGTTGGTAATGTGATGGCTTTGTGAATTTTGAAAAATAGGTTTTCCTACCGGCATTGAATAGGATGATAGAAGACATGACAATATGAATAGAAGAAACAGACAATGGAGCCTGGCTTCACTGAGTCACAGTGAGGTTGGGAAGCTGACCCTGCAATAAGATAATATGATGACTAGGCAGAATGAGGTAAATTGTGAAAGCCTTTGAAAATGATTACTTAAATTTCTGATTGCAGAAGCAGACAACTGGGAGCCAAAAGGAAGACTCAAAGCCGAATATGGTGGGCTAAGAAAATTGTTTTAATTGCTTTTTTAAACCTGTTTGCACAGTCCAAGTAATTCATCTGCAAATTGATTGTGTTATTTGTTTTTCAAAATATTTCAGTACTATTTTATTTAAGGAAATAAAAAATTGATGCCAGAATCCTTAGTAACCCTACAATAGCAAACAATGGTTCAGAATGCTTATACAATAACTAGGGTCCTACCCAATTCATGGTCCCTTTTGGTCAATTCCATGACCATAGAATTTTTTAATTAATACAAGCAGTCCCCGGGTTACGTACAAGATAGGGACTGTAGGTTTGTTCTTAAGTTGAATTTGTATGTAAGTCGGAACTGGTACATATTATAGGGGAAACTCTAGCCAAACATTTCTCCACAGCTCAGTTTTATTCTCCCACACCTCACTTCCCTCAGTCCTTTATTCTCAAGCTGAGGTGTCTGCTGAGAAAAGCCGCTCCACGTCTCCCTAGTCTGCTGGGTGGGGCGCCAGCTTCGCGTCTCCCTGGTCTGCTAGGGGGAAAAGCAGCTAGTGCGGGGTTGCCTCACCCCATTTGTAAGTAGGGATCCGATGTAAGTCGGATCCATGTAACCCGGGGACTGCCTGTAAATTTCAGTATTTCAGATATTTAAATCTGAAATTTCACAGAGTTGTAATTGCCAGGGCTGTGACCCCAAAAGGGAAAAAAAGGAATGAGGAGGGTCAAAAGGTTGTTGTGCTGAGTGGGATTGCAGTACTGCTACTCTAATTTCTGCATTGCAGTTGGCAGCGGCACTGCCTTTATAGCAGAGAGCAGCAACTGATGGCCAGGAACCCAGTTGTGAAGGTAGAGCTGCCGCCACCAGCAGCAGCTCAGAAGTAAAGATGGCTTTGTAGAGTATTACCACCCCTAATTCTGAGCTGCTGGCTTCAGAGCTGAGCCCTCAGTCAACAGTCAACAGCTCTCTGGCTGAAGAGCTCCAAAGGCAGCAGTGCAGAAGTAAAGGTGAGATGGTATGGCCATCATTACTTTGGTGCTGCTGCAGGCAGGCACTGCCTTCAGAGGTTGGTGCCCAGTTAACAGCTGCTATTCTCTGGTAACCCAGTTCCAAAGGGAGAGCAGAAGTAAAGATGCCAATACCACAAGACCCCCCAAAATAGCTTTGCAACCCTCTGCAAATCCCTTTTGGGTCAGAATCCCCAATTTGAGAAATGCTGGTGTCCCTAGTGAAATCTGTACTGTATAGAGGCTCACAAAAAAGACCAGATTTCATAGGGGTGACCAGATTACATGGTCTGTGATGGGCTTTTCATGGCTGTGCATGTGATAGGGCCCTAACGATAACCTACTGGATTTTTTTATGTTTACATTGGCCTTACTCTCCTCCCGTTTAAGTTTGACAGGAATTTTTCTGATTACTTTAATGAAATAAGAGTTACACTGATGCTGAAAGTTTCTGAGAAATCTTGCCATTTACAAAGACCCTTCCTTGTAATATCTTATGCTTTATATTAAAATTGTCCTATTTTATTTTTAAAATAAATGTATGCATTTCCATAAGCATGAGTTGTGTAGTATACAGATAGTTTTCAACTTTATGATGTTCAGCTTAAGATGAACAGCACTTGCCATGTTTATTAACTGACAGCCTGATTCAATTTATGGCATTGTTTTCAACTTTATGATGCTCAGTCCCACAGTGAACAGGATTGCAGTTCCAAGTTATATTTTGATTTACAGCACAGTATTTAGGAACAGATTTTATCATAAGTCTGAGGATTCCCTGTGTATTCATTATGTCATCCTGTTTATCTAACGATGCCTGCATTTGACCTGAAACTTTGGAAGAGTCATAGCGTTAAAGGCCAAAAAGAACCATTGTAATAATCTCAACTGAACTCTTGGTTAACACAGGCACCAGATTTTCACTCAGTTATTCCTGTATCTATCTCAACAATATCTGACTGAACTAGAGAGTATATTTTAGAAAGATATCCAGCCTTGATTTATAGACTACAGAGAGTGGAGAATTTGCCACATACCTTGCCAATCTGCTCCAACAGTTAATTAACTTTTCTGTCAGAACCTAAACAATGTTTAAAGGCAAATTACAGAAGACTGGATTGTTCAGGAGATTGGCAATTGCCTTGCAGTGTTAGGCTACCAGTTCAAATCTAGCTCAGATTAATGGTTTAGCATTTGATGGCTGTGCAAAGGCATAAGTGACAGAGCTTTTTTTTTATTATACAAAAGACGTCATATGGTATCCTTCTTATTAGCCTCAGAAGAGAAGACCAGAACTGAACGAATGATAGTGAATGAATGACCTTCAAAATGGTAGCTGTAGTTCAGGGATGGTGCACATTGGGTATTGTAGAGAAGGTTACATTCCTATTGCCCAAGTAATACCTGCTTTCCCCACAGACCACCTTGAATGTAGTTTTGTTTTCACCTGAATTTAACCTAGTTCCATATTCTTTAAATAATTCAGTTATGTCTAGACAGAATTTTTATAATGAGATCTACAAGAAAATCTCCAAAGGTTTATTAATTATAAGAACTTGTACAGAATTTTATATCAATGAGGAAAAAATGCTTTGGGATAATAATAGCTCAGGAGCAAAGAAAGTCAAGTAATAAAGCACTCCCATTTCCATGAAAAAACAACAGTTATTCTGAGAGACGACTGGGTAAATCAGAGCCAAATAAATTAAAGTCACAGGATATAGCAATTGACATGGAGTGTGCATTACCATAAAGCAGGCAAATAGAAAGACAAGGTGTCTAAAATGACATGCACATCAACAGGGTGATGAACACATTATATATTTATAATGAAGACAAAATGGAAATATTTACCAAATGAAAAAAAATACGCACAAGTATAAAACTCAAATCGGTATGGGTCATTTCTTAAAAAGCCTTCTGCTTCAATCCTTATTTTGTAATTACTCTACGTTTACAGAATTGTAAGAGAACAGAAGTTGGCCTTTTAGTGCAAAATTACACCAATAACACAGTTGGCTGGAAAAGTAAAATAGTCGAAAACAACTAAAAATTAGTCCTTAGACACAACTAGTGCTAGTTATTTTGCTTTATAATACTGACTGCCAGTAAACTATAGTTACATTCCCATTATGGTGTATCTGCACTATAATTATGCTTTCTAAACTAGTGATCACATATTTGTAACTGGAAGGTTTGGAGCAGAAGCTTTGCCCAAGCAGAGACTTGTCTGGGACTCTGGAGACTTGAGTTC